TTTTTTTTTTTTTTTTTGCCGCGTCCACAGTCTCTGTCATGGTTTTCTTGATCAGGGCTGTGAAGTCGTGCACAACATCTGGATGGTCTCTCCAGCAGGAATTCGCAGTTTCTAACACCTGGATGGTCCCTCCAGGAGGGATTCGTTGTTTCTGGCTTGGTGGCTTTCATGGCCTTCTCCATAACAAGGACGCATCTTCGGTGGGGTGATCCTTCCACGCGCCATGACGTCCTCTCTGTCGGGGTTCTCTGTTCTCTCCCACGGCACTGACCATCCTTTCCACAGAGACCATGTGTGATGAGCCCTGAGGGTCCTAGGACCCCCGATCCAGAGGCTGAGTCGGAGACGTGGTGTTTGGGGCGAGTAGACCACTTCAATGTTTGCTGAACTCACGGGGTGCTGGGTGGCCAGGCCCATGGTCCAACATCAAAAGAACCTCAGAGGCAGCCTTCGCTTACCGGCCAGGCGCTTCCTCACCTCAGGGACAAAGCTTCCACAGGACCAATCCGGAAATGGGTCCTCGACCAGGCCTCTGCGGAGCCACCAGAGGCTGACAGCTGGCATTTATCTTCCCTGCGCAGCTCAGGATCAGCGGCTTTATAGATAAGGGCAGCTCTGACCGAAAACCAACCGTGTTTGCACAGTCAGCCCAGCCCTTCCTCCTTAAATCCGGGTGCTTTATCTTCCTTCCTGATAAAGGTCCTTTGTGGCATTTTTTTCCCCAGAATTAGGCACCTTCATCTGCATTGCAAACCTGCTCAGAGAGACATCCTGTCTCCTCAGTGATTCCCTTACAGCGCCTGGGAACTGTCCGGGGCAGAAACTGCTTCTCCTGCTATGGTGACCTTTTTTTAGACCAGACCTCTTTCTAAAATGATCCTTTGCTGGCATCAAATTCTCCAGCTTTAGCCCTGGCTGCTGGGGCTCAGTGGTTAAAGCGTCGGCCGGCGCACTGAAGGGTGGCGGGTTTGATTTCTGGTCAAGGGCACGTACCCGGGTTGAGACCATGGGCAGGCACCCCGTCCAGTCGATGTGTCTCTCTCACATCGATGTTCCTCTCTCTCCCCCTCCCTCCCTTCTACTGTCTCTGAAAAGCAATGGAAAAAATATCCTCAGGGGAGAGTTAACAAACAAACAGACAAAATTCTCCAGCTTCAGACCCTTCGCCTTCCTGCTGCTTTGTCGTAGGATGACTCACTCTAGAGCCTGTCCTTGTTTATAGGTACGTTTGCCTTACAGCGACCCTGCACCCACGTAAAAGCCACATTTTCAGTGTGGATGAAAAGGTATTTCACAAAAGGCGCGAGGTTTCCGCGCCTGCTGGTGTAGCAGCAGCACCGGCTCCGCGGATTTCCTCTTCTTTCCTCACAGTGGTCCTTACGCTGGACGGGTTCGTATATTGAAGTGGGGGGGCCACCACCACTGCAGACGCCAGGGACAAAGCTTCGGGGGAACCATCCAGAAACGGGCCCTGTCGTCCATCGACGGCGCACATCGAGCCCGTCGGCGTTTCGCCTGATGCTGGGGCTCTTCTCTGCTTCTTGCTGTGGATCCCCTGGCGCCATCCAGGGTCACAGGTGCCACACTGAGCGCGATGAGAGGTGCAGGAGGACCGGGAGACCTTGCTTTCTACTGCGACGCACAACTTCCTGGAGACGAACTTCTCCCGCGGAGACGGTGGCATCACACGCGCTGTGAGTGGACACTCAAAACACTTGGGCTCAGGGCCACCGCAGCACAGCCGGCTTTAGGGCTTAGGATCTAAAGCAGCATCTTTGCGGTTGTTTACTTTTCGCTCCACTGCAAACGGCGCCACCTACAGTCTGGATGTGTTCGTGTGCGTGAGGTTTGATAAATTTTGGCTTCTTGTAAGACTTGAGTATATTTTATGGTAGTAAATGATAAAATTGACTCCTATCTACATATATGCTATGCGTTCATGACATACCCAACTTTTTCTTATATTTTTTCAGTATTTTTAGGCTACACAGTTCATCTGCAAGTTTTTTCAAATTGTTGCAAATCTCCAGAAAGTTTTTTGATGTATTTATTGAAAAAAATTGCATATGCCCAGCTGGCGTGGCTCAGCGGCTGAGCATCGACCTAGGATCTGGGAGATCTTGGTTCGATTCCCGGTCAGGGCACATGCCCGGGTTGTGGGCTCGATCCCCAGTGGGGGGCCTGCAGGAGGCAGCTGTGACACTCTCATCATTGATGTTTCTCTCTCTCTCTCTCCCTCTTCCTTTCTCTCTCTGAAATTAATGAAGATATTTAAAATAAAATAAAAATTAAAAATGTTCATATAAGGGGACCCATGCAGTTCAAACCCATGTTGTTCAAGAGTCAACTGTACACAAGCAATTATAAATTCTAGTATTCTCGTAGCTTTGATTTGTAACTATATTGTTTGATTCATACGTGACTTAAGAGACTAATACATAAAATTAATAGTCTATGTTTTGGGGCACATAGTATATAAAGATGTAATTTTGAGACATCAATACTGACAGGGTGGAGACAGTGCTGTGAAGCGGCAGTTTTCGTATGTTATTGGAGTTAAGCTGCTATAAATTCAAAACAGAGTGTTAGGATGTTAAATGTAATGCCCATGGTAACCACAAAGAAAACAGCCATAGGATACACACTGAAAGAAATGAGAAGGGAATTTCAAAGTTCTCTCAATAAAGACCAACTAAACCCAGGCCCTGGCCAGTAGCTCAGCTGGTTAGAACATCATTCCAATACGCCAAGGACACGGGCTCAGTGTCTGCCAAGGATACAGGCTCAGTGTCTGGTCAGTGCACATACGAGAATCAACCAATGATGCATAAATAATCAGAGCAACAGATTGATATTTCTCTCTCTCCCCCTCTCTTTAAAAATCAATAAATTGAAGAAATCAACGAAACACAAAAGAAGACTAATACAGAAAATGAGAGACAAAACAGCTCTAAGGTATGTAGAAAACAAATAGGAATTCCTCCCAGTAATTCCTTTATTACCTCATCTCTCCAATCAAAAGTAAGAGATCAGCAGAATGAGTGAAAACGCAATCCAGCTGCACAGTGTCTACAAGACTCATTGAGAGCCAGAGAGCCCACAGGTGGGAAGTGAAAGGATGGAAAAGGTATTCTACGCAAATGTAACCAAAAGAGTGTGTATGGGGGGGGCTCCACTAACATCAGACAAAAGACTTTGAATCAAAATGCTTACAAGAGACAAAGGAGGGCGTTATATATTAATAAAAGGTTCAGCGTGGGGAAAATAAGTGTGTATGAACATTTACGCACCCACTGACAGACCAGTAAAATCTATGAAGCAAAAATGGACAGAACTAAAGGGAGAAATAGAAAGTTCTACAATAATACTAGGAGAGTTGACGCCCACTCCCAGTAATGGGTAGAACAGCCAGGCATAAGTCGGTAAGGACACAGAGGACTTGAACTCGCAGACAAAGGCAGAACGTGCCACCCAACAACTGCAAAATACACATTTTCCTCAAATCTCAAATACCTGCAGGACATTCTCCATGATAAACTATGAGTTAGGCCATAATTAAGTCTCAACATTTAAAAACATAGATATCAGATCTTATAGAAATCTACGCCTGAAACCTGTGTGATTCTATTAACCAATGTCACCCCAATTAACTTAATTTAATAAATAAATAAAATAAATAAATAAAAACATAGAGAGCATCTGATGTATATCCTCTGACCACAACTGGATGGCTCCCCTGGTGAATTCTACCAAACATTTAAATAACAATTAGCACCAAATGCTCCTTAAAGTCTTCTAAAAAAATTTGAAGACAACACCCTTAACTTATTTATTTATTTATTTTTTAATATATCTTTATTTCGGAGAGAGGAAAGGAGAGGGAGAGAGAGACAGACAGAAACATCAATGATGAGTCATTGGGAATTAAGCCCACAGCCTGGGCATGTGCCTTGACCGGGAATCGAACCTCGATCTCTTGGATCCTAGGTCAATGCTCAACCGCTGAGCCACGCCCGGCCGGGCTTAACTTATTCTTTCAGGTCAGCATTGCCCTGATATCAAAGCCAGACAAAGACACTAACTACAAGGGAAAAAACCTACAGACAGATATCTCCTGTGAACATTGATGCAAAAACCCTCGACAAATTACTAGCAAATTGAATTCAACAGCACAGATGCTCCTCAGCTTACGACGGGGCTATGTCCTAATAAACCCAAAGTAGGTTGAAAATATTGTATGTTGGAAATGCATTTAATACACCTAACCTGCTGAACGAGTGGCTTTGCCTACTCCCTTAAACGTGCTCACACACAAGATCCAAAACATGCCGGCGACGGTGCGCAGTGGGTGCTGGCTGTTTGCCCTCCGGATCACATGCCTGGCTGGGAGCACAGCACTGGCCCAGGAAAAGATCAAAATTCAAAATTTGAAATAAGGTTTCTACTGAAAGTACGTCACCTTCGCACTGTTGTAAAGTTGAAAAATCATAAGTTGAACGATCATAAATTGGGGACCGTCTATATATTAAAAGGATGTATCATACACTGTGACCAAGGGGGATATGCTCCCCGAATGCAAGGATGGTTCAATGTGTGAACAACACCTGGTGTGATACATCACATTAATAGAATGGAAATAAAATCAGATGCTCATCTCGATTGACATAGAAGAGGCATTCCACAAAATCCCACAAAATGTGGTATATATATATGAATATTATTCAGCTTTAAAGAGAAAGAAAATTCTGACACCTGCTACAACATGGATGAGCCGTGAGGACATCATGCTGAGTGAAATAAACCAGTCACAAAAGGACAAACATATGATTCCACTTCTATGAGGTCCCTAGAGGAGTCGAAATTAGAGACAGAACATGGAATGGTGGTGCCATGGGCTGGGGGAGGAGAGAGTGGGGAGTCAGTGTTTAATGAGGACAGAGTGTCGGTTTTGCTGGACGAGGCCTCTCCCCAGGTCCATGCAGGAGAAGTCCTGTACCCCTACTAGCCCCTGGCCCAGGCTGTCCCACCCTGTCTGCTGCAGCCCCTCCCGCCTCCCGGAGGACCGAGGCCACCTTGCACAGCTCACCTTGGGCAGCGCCAGCTCCTGGTCCAGCCCCACACTGATGTGGCACATGAAATAGAGACCCACCCCAAACAGGGCCAGGAACAGCAGCACCTGAGGAGGGAACCACCATGAGAGTCAGCCAGCCACATGGGGGCCCCCGGCTCTGCCAACCTGGGTCTAGGTGGCTGTTCTGACACATTCTGGAGCTGCACCTGAGTCCCCCTGCCACCCCCACCCCGTGCTTCAGCGCCAGGACCTGGGGGAGCTCTGGACTGGCCAAAGACTGCGAGTGAGGGTCAGGCTGAGCAGCCCCTGCCCTGCCCTAGGGGTGTGAGGACCCAGCCGCCCTCCCAGCCCACTCACCACGACCACACGGGTGATACGGTGCAGCAGGAACGGAGCATAGACCTTGCGGAAGAATCGGAGCAGGAACCCCTCGCGTTGGCCAGGCGGGGGCAGCTCCTGGACACTGATGCAGCAGCAGACGTCCCAGCGGGAGGCCTGTGGGAGGCAGGCCCCTCAGTGGCCCCAAAGCAGACCCAGGACTGCCACCCTCTCTCCCGGGGCTCCGGGAACATGCCAGTGTGCAGTTTTCTACCTTGACAACATCCCTTTGAATTCTGTGCTGTCACAGAAACAGTAGCTGCCTGTCAACCTCTGATTCATAGTTTATCTGGAGACCTCATGTACTTGAGGAAGTTTGATCATATTTCCCAAGATGACCAAAACAAAATTACCTTTTTGTGGGACAGTGGGGACTACATGGCCCAAATGTTTCTGCACTGTGTCCCTGCCCCAAGTCCCACTCTGTGCCTTCTCTACAAAGTGAGGCCACTCGTCCCAGCCAAAAAGGGGCCAGCGGGTCCCCTACCTCTTGCCTCCTGCTGTCGAGGGACACCAGGGCCACAAACGCCGACATCTGCAGCAGGAAGTCCAGGACCACCGCGAGACCAGAGGTCAACGCAAAAGTCCTCACGGCGGGCATGGGGGTCAAGGCCCCTGGGGGAACAGAGGTGACTCTCAGGGCATGGTGTCTGCTCACACAGGTACTGAGGGAAGGGGGCTGCCCCCACCCGGTCTCCAGGGCCTCTTAACACCAGGGGTTGGGGGCAGGGGCTTCCAGGCTCACCCAGGAAGAAGCAGATGGCCTCAGAGAGACTGCACAGCAGCATGCTGGGCCCCACGCTGCCCAGCACCCGGCCGATGTGGGCCTCCCGCCGCTCCCCAGACCTCCGCGGCAGCCTCTGGGTGGGGGGACAGCAAGGACCAGGTCCAGGGCAAGTCGATGGAGCTGGCACATGCTTCACTCCCATGCCTGGCCAGTGCCCAGAGACCCGGCCAAGCCTGAGGGCCCCTGCTGACAGTGCCACCCCAGCTTCCCCTGCTCAGAGTCTGACCCAGGGGGGTGCTGGGTGTGTTTTGGGGTGTCTGTGGCAACCTTGCCCCAGTGACCACTGGGACCCTCAATATTCACCAACAGTGGAGGCTAAATGGACCCTGACCCGTCCTTGCCTGGAATGCCACGCAGCAGCGTCAGGGCAGAGAAGCCCAGGAAACCCACGCAGGTGCGCCTGGGGTGGGGCCTCAGGGCAGGGCACCCACCCACTCACCTGGTACTCGAGCACAAAGATGAAGATGTTGTCTGCCCCCACAGCCAGCACCAGGAACGGCACCACTTGAAGGACCACCAGGGAGGAAGGGACTCCCAGGTAGGAGAAGAAGCCCATGGAGGCCATGACGGCTCCCAGCACCACGGCCACCCCGCCCAGGCCCAGCGTGACTTTGGCGTCCACCTGCAACGGGACGGGGTCAGCCTTCTGAGGCAGAGCCGGTGAGGGGCCCCACGTGGGGACTGGGGGGGCTGCGTCTTACAAGACACTTTACACAGTAGGTTTGCATCTCGCGGTGGAGACGGGCAGGGAGCAGAAAAATACTTCCCGAGAGGGGTCACCCCTGGGGAGCCCCGGTGGTGTCTCCCTTTGCTTCCGGGCACTCTGGTTGGTACAGTTCCAGACGCCCTCCCCATGCTCCTCCCCTCCTCACCAGCAGGCGGCGCCAGCTGGTGTAGCTGCCCAGGGCCAGGGAGATGTACAGGAAGATGACCAGGTAGCTGATGGCAAAGATGGGCAGGTCCTGGGCTGTGGTCCGGCTGATCTCGTCCTCCAAGGAGCGCTGTGGATACACCCCACCGGCCCGCTGACCCTTGACACTGTGGGCCCCGCAGGCAGCATTCCCACCACCTGTCCTGGTCCAGGGTCACTCAGGAGGGGGCTGGGATGGGGCCATAGGAACCCACCCCAAGCCACCTGGGTTGTCACCAAGCCGTGGACCCCACAGCCCCTACCTCAGCCATGAAGGTGACTTGGAACGTGCCGGCCATTCGCTGCTGAAAGGCTCGCATCTCTTCCAGGAAGGCCCCCTCCCAGAGCTTGGCCTGGGCCAGCCGTGGGTCCCCAGGAGGGTAGTTGTTGAGGGAGAAGGTCAGGATCAGAGCATCCGCCTCAGAGTAGCTATTCCCTGGGAGGAGACATGCTCAGCCACCCTCTGGCCTCCCCTGCCCCCCCACCTTCTTTATCTGAGTCATTGTCTCACACCCTACACCCACTTTCCAGTCTCAGCCAAAGGCACAAAACCAGAGACTACGGAGCAGAGCAGCGCTGGGAGGAGGTGCTGAGGATGGCAGGTCTGCAGCACCCACCCAGCCTCGCCAGCACGGCTACCCCGGGGCGAGAGAAGCCCGTCTCTGCTCCCCACCTCCTGCCTCATGTTGGCCCTCGTGGCCTCCCCAGGGTGACCAGCTTACCTTTGTAGCCTCCCACGGCAAGGAAAGGGAAGACAGGAGCCCCATAGTCAGCCATGCAGCTCAGGGCCAGGGCCGTGCTGTCCTTGAAGGTGAGCGGGGCACTGCAGGGAGAGGGAGGACCCTTCCAGACCCCACTCCGGTCACCCTGCGCACCCCCCGCAGGCCCCAGCACCGTCACCTGACTCTCAATAAAATCTCACGCAGCCCAGTGCAGTGTGGACCGGAGCTCCCGGCCAGGGCTGTCCATGCTCACAGCACCTCCCGCCAACCAGGCCCTCCAGGCCCCATCACCACCCGATCCCAGAGCCCCATCACCACCCGATCCCAGATNCACAGCACCTCCCGCCAACCAGGCCCTCCAGGCCCCATCACCACCCGATCCCAGACGAGGCAGGTCCGGGAGCCTCATACAGGGTCCCCTGCGGTGGGCCCTGACAGTTCCCAGTCCCGACCACCCACAGAGACGCACAGGCCTCACTGCCCTCAGCCTCCCCCTCCCTCCAGGCCGCCGAGTGTCTCTCTTTCTTTCCAGTTTGCCGACCCTGAGACCTCAGGCCAGTCTCTCTGCCTTCCACTGAGCCCTGCAGGCAAGGGTACCACGGGGCCCTGAACCAAGGGCTCTGGGTGAGTGAGACCGCTGGTCACCAGCTGTCCTGGGAATACAGGTGCCTTGTGACCTTGAGAAGCTCACCACACCTCTCTGAGCCTCAGTCTTCCTGTCCCTGAAATGGGGACATTCAGACCACCCAGGAGTGGTTGTGAGCATCCAGAATCAAAATAAAGCCAGAGTGCCCTGGCTGGTGTGGCTCAGTGGTTAGAGCGTTGACCCTCAGACCAAAGGATCGCGGGCTCGACTGCCGGTCAAGGGCACGTACCTGGATTGCAGGTTCCATCCCCAGCCCCAGGTGGGACACTTGTGGGAGGCAACCAATAGATGTCTCTCTCTGACACCTATGTTTCTCTATCTCTCTCTCTCCCCCTCCCTCTCTCCCTTCCATTCTCTAAAAATCAGTGGAAAAAATACATTGGGTGAAGAAGAAGGAAGGGAGGAAGGAAGGAAGGAAGGAAGGAGGGAG